AAGTTTCACGGTTCCATTAAATTTCACTTAGCCTTGCTTTCCAAAAGGTATTCTCATCCAAGCTGGATTGAAAATGCGAGGCCTATTCCGCTGATAGTGGGAAAATTTTATTATCAGTCCTTCGTCACTTTATGCGACTTAGGGTGACTTAAATGATTATTATTTAAGATTTAAGGTCAATTTCGAAACCAACCTTAATGCATATTGGTCTGTTTGTTTGTTAACAAGGTTATTTATCAATGCGCTATCTACTCATCTGCTTTCATCTATATCAATTTCGATGGTTATTTATCTAGTCTTAATTGCAGACAAATTCACAAGTACCTCTCTTGCTCAACCGTCTTTTTCAGTATATGCCTCATGGCCCATCTTCTAATTATCCGTACGCGCCCTTGCTTAAATGTTGGTCTGCCCATCTTGCTTTATGCCAATCTATGAACCAGCCTCACCTGGGTCAGCTGGCAAGGTCACTTTTGTAGCTGTGCCCAAGCTGGTGCCGTCGGCTGTCAACCCGACCATGAAAACATTCACATCCTGCCCTGGCGCAATGGCTCCAGTACCGCTAGCTGGAAATGTGATATGTTCCTGTAGAGAGTCAGATTTGGCGCTCGAAGCGAGTGCAGTATCGAGTTGTGCTCGGCTAATTGTCCCATTTAGAGTGATGAAGCCAGGAGAATCGCCGGAGGTGCAATATCCTGGAGATATGTTATTTAAACGTGTAGTGATGTCGGCCCCCTGTGCGTGTTTTCATATGTATATGGCATATGTTAACATGGTAACAGCACATGCTAATGCAAAAAGTTTCATTTGTTCCATATATGTGCATATATGTGAAAATATAATCTTCCAAGTTTGCAATAAACGTTGTTTCTGGAATTATGTGTATATGTACGAAAAACATGTCGTATAAATGCAAGTAAGTGTCTAGGCTAGGTAACGAGGCTAGGATAAATGCCAATTTGACGGTTTTACACAAAACTTATGCACAAGTGCAAACATGCTTGAGTGTGCATGCACATACAAAGATGCAAGTTGTTGCATCAGGTAAAAACTGATGTTTGAGATGAGAGAACATGAGTCTGGGATAAGCAGTGTGAAAACCTACTCACTAGCGAAATAAGCGATGAGAGTTTGGGTATATAGGATAACAGAGAAAGGATGAAACAAAAGGTCAATTATACGAAAAATTTAAACCTAAGGAGATTATGTACAAATTTTGGAACAGGTAAGCCCTTGAAAGACAAAAATGAAAAATATATTAAAAATTATTGGAACAAGAATTTTGCTAAGGATACATAAGTAGCACCTTTTGTTAGCCTTGTTACATAGCCGTGAAAATGAAAGTCTATAACACAAACAAAATAACCACCTCATTAGTTTATATCTCCCTAGACTTATAATGAGGTATGAAATAGATAGGTAGGTGTTGTCCATAACTAATACAGAATGTATCAAAGATATGAAGACCAAGATGATGTGGCCTTCGGTATGGTCGCAGTCTCCTTTCGATTTGTAGAAGTGGGTTGACCTTGGTCTTGTCGTCAGGGCGACTAAGTTTAACGCACCCTGTCCGAAGTCCTCTGCCATAGTCGTTATCATAATTCCCAGCATCCGAACGTGGACTTGGTACATTATAGTCGACATTATCAGTGAGTCTTGCCATTCTCCGCACCAAGCAGCAAACTCGTCAAAGAAACAAGTAAAGTAAATCTCTCGACCAACCTTATGCCGAAACGGTTGCACTATCACTCCTCTTTCTGTCCTGGCCCATCTATACTCCTTTTTCTCTTATCCAACTCCCGCTCTATCACAACTTCTGACTTATTTATATTCCATTCGTCAAAATGTGCCCATTTTTTGGTAAATATAGTGAGACCTCTTCACACCTGCTATTCAGCTTGGCTGTCTCTCTTTAGATCGGCTAATTCGACTCGGGCCTCCTATCCGGATCTCACTCATGTTCCCGTAGATCCGTTCCTTATCTTTCTGGTTGACCGATTTCACTCGGTTCCAGTCCTCGTATGCATTTCACTCCAGGCACTATTTCTCAAGACCCTAGAAGCACGTACACTGTCGCCTCATCGAGCAGAGCGCATAGGCTCTGATTGCCATACTTGGAGATATCGGGCATTGCCTTCACGGGTTGTCTCCTTGATAAAATCCGTGTTACTGAGCAAACTGCAGACGCCTATCTCTGGTCACATGTAGCAGCCCAAGTGAATTTATAGTACAATTTTGCTATAACGCCAAATTTCTGTAACGGTTTGCTTATCCGTTGGCCTAATTCCCAGACTGCCAGGCCCCCAAAGTTGTACCGGTTTATTCGAAACGGACATCACTCTCTGATAATGTCTTCGCTTGATTTCCGAAATTTTTAAGTGACATGCTAAAAGATAGGCATAGGAACGGAGAAATTGACACATGGACGAGAAATTCAATCATAAGAAAGGATGCACGACCACCAACAGCCTACGGATCACCGAAGATACAAAAGGAAGGCGAACCACTAAGGCTAATAGACAAGAACAAGTATGGAACAACACACAAATTTGCAAGGTTCATATGTTTGAAACTCAAGAAATTAAATTGCGGGTTATCAAATATAATGAAGCATTCATATGAATTTTCTCAAAGAATCAAAAACGTGACACTGGAATAAGTAGACTTATTGGTAAGTTTCGATGTGGAATCGATGTATACAAATATCTCTGGAGAAAATGCGCTAACGGTCATGCTGGAAATCCTGGAGTTACAACGGATCAGGAGGGAGTCGTTAACACGACTAATCAACTTGACTATATGGACAACCTATTTCACATTCAACGTCTTGGGATCGCCTCTTTCACCACTTTTGGCAAACGTATACATGAACAAATTAGAAGAGGACCTTAAGATGTCACCGCCATAACCAGCAGCGCCCATGCGATACCTGGATGATGACTTCACACCTTGGTTACATGGTTGAGAAAAACATGAAGATTTTCTGAAATTTATAAACCAGATTGATGAAAAAATTCAATTTACGATGGAAGTAGATGAAGGTGAGAGGTCACCCTTCCTGGATGTTGCAGTGATTTGTTCTAATGGGACGCTCAAAAAGAAATTGTTCAGAAATAAGTCCTAGGCTGGGATAATACTCAAATTTCGGTCCCATCACAATTACATGCTAAAGATTGGAATAATGAAGAGCGTGATCATCCGAAGCCTAAGCCTAACGGATGTAGAATTCTGGGACGAGGAGCTGAACAAATTGACGAGGATATTCCTCGGCAATGGCTATCCAAACAATGTGATAAAAAGAAACATACGGGCCGTGAAAAGCCGATGGCAGAATAAGGACTATGAAAGAAGAGTAAGGACGATGAAAGATTCACAAAAGTGGATATGCCTACTTTCCTGCGAACTAACTCAGAAACTACCGCCAATATTGAGTAAATGGAATATTCAGGTGGCCATGAAAAAGAAATCAAAAGGGTAAACAAATTGGATTCTTCAGGAGTTTACTGTATATCATGCGGCGCCTGCGAACAGAAATATATTGGCGAAACAGAGAAAAATTAGCACACGAATCAAGGAACATCAGAGG